TGCCGTGCTCACCTCTGTATGCGCCAGCCTGGAAGATCTGGATAGCTGGTCTGGGGACGTGATCGGACCCAGCGGAGAGCAACGCTTTTTGGTACACGGTCTTGGCGACGTCGACCGGATAGATCAAGGAGGCCGTTAGCTTAGACGTATCAGTACGTTTCGTTTTCAACACAGACTTACACAAGCCCAACTCACAATCCCGCACAGGCCTCCGGCAACCACAACAGCGTAAGGGCTGGTTGGGTTGCGGCCGCGTGAGTTCGCCATGAGTTGCTTGACACTTTCGTAGGTCGTGAAGTAGATCGCCGTGCCAATAGTGTCGCGCAGCAAGTGAAGATGGTAGCCAGAGTACAGGCCACGGAGACCTCGGTCACGCACCAGCCTTCGCGCCGTGTTCCACGAGCCAGTCTTGACGTCCAATGCAGCGCCAGGGTTGACGCGCTGACCTGCTCCATCGACTGCCTTTGCTTCTCGCGCCAGCTTGCCAGCCAGCTGCTCGCTCAGCTTCGTCAACTCGAATGGGCAAGACAGAGTCGTGATGACTGCACCAGACACTGCTCCCGCCCCACCGAAGCAGGCAAAAGTGTAAAGGTTCGGGTACGAGCCTGGTGCATTCGCAATCATCAATGGGCTGTGTCCGGTCAACTTATTGATAGACCTGTCAAGGTAATATTTCGTCTTCTGGTAGATGCTGAAGCTGATAGTGCGGACCGTGGTAACGCTGATCATGGGTGGTCCAACGCCGCGCCAGAAAGCACGCAGACCCTCCGCTCTGTATGCATCCTTGATAGTGTGTACAAAACCTCCTCCGAAAGTTTGCATTCGGCTCTTGGCAAAGTCCAACGGAAAGGCCACGAATGTCGACAGCACGCTTGACGAAGATGCGGCGATCTCAGTGCGGTACTTCTTCGACCAGTTCTTCACGTCATTGCTTGGCTGAAAGTTGAAGATGCTGCTATTGCCTTTTGATGGCGAGGACGATTTCCTGGAGGTATCATGGCTGATGCCAGCCTTTGAGCTGGACTCGTGCTCTTGGTCCTTGCCAGGCATGTTCGGGGGTGGAGGACGACTGTCCTCAAGGCGTTCGATGGAGCTGCCTGGTGAGGCGCTCCATGAAGCCTGCTTGCGCTCGTTGATGTCCACAATACTGCTTGCTGCTCCTGCTTGCTATCCCCACGCGTCTTGTCTTTGTTCACTCTCGAATTCCCTACGTGCGTCAAGTCGTTGGTTGGCAAGGTGTGAGGTCTGAGTTGCTTGGGTCTGTTGTAGCTTCTAGCCCTACTCAATTCTCGTTAGTCGATGCGCCGTGGTCCAGTGGCTTCCTGGTGGCAGTCAGGCAGCGGCGAGCGGAGTCGTGGGCGATGCAGCTTGCGTTGCTGCAGGTGTGGTGAGAGAGTTTCGAGGTACTTTAGACATTAACTTAGCGCGTTTTTAGCGGCATGTGATAATGACGCACGACAATGGGGATGTATTTTAGCTGCGAAGAACTAAATGCTACGAGTCTGATGAAATGCCGCTATATGAGGGTATGGAGATCGTCAATCAAAGCCACACCATCGCAACACCGCTTCCGACTGCAATTAGCAGAAAGCTCCACGCCAAGCCGACCACCCCAGCACTGCTAGGTGCCACCTTGCCAGTATCCTGTTGCCCACTGGCAGTTGCAGTACAGCTGGAAGCACCACAAGCGTGGCCCGATGGACAACAGCCGCCGTCCACAGAAGCAGGACAAGAGAACCATCCATTCGCGCAAGAACCTTGGGTTTGGGCAGCCGCAGCAGATACATCCGTTGTCGAAGTATATGGTACTATTACAGTCGCGCCTGAGCTGACGACGGCAGTACTGTCAGTCGTAGGACAAGACGTAGCATCGCAGTTCCGTCCCACCCGACAGCAGCCCCCCATGTAGTATGCACTACACATGTAGAAGCCTGTCGGGCAGCTAGCATCGGTGGTACTGCTCGCTGCAGCCGTTGCGGCTGAGACGGAAGTTGCTGACGCACTGACGCTCGTTGGAAGTATTGGCGCGCCACCAGCAATCAGAGAGCTTGTGGCGTCCAAGCAGAGATTGTTGGTCGCGCATATTCGACCACTGGGACAGCAACCACCGCCCACTGACACGGGACAAGACTGAAAGCCTGCGTTACACGTCGAAGAAGCTTCAGTAGTGGAATTGACACTCTCGCCGCTTGAGGTCGGCGATGTTGGCGACGTTGGCGTTGGCGCAATAACAACCGTGGTGGGAGAGGTGATGGTTGTCATTCCGCCACTCAGACTCTGAGTGACTGTAACGGTAGTTGTGTAACCAGAAATTGAGACACTCGTCTCTGTCGCTGTAACTCCAACAGGTGCAACTTGTGTAGTGCCCTCGTCCGTAGTTGAGGGAGAGCTTGCAGCTGGTGTACTCGTCGACAGAGTCACAACTGTGGTAGCTGTGCCATAAAACACACAACCCGTTCCAGCACACACAGCTCCAGGGACACAACATCCACCGTTTGGACAAGACGTGTACCCTGCGCCAGTGTCGCATGAGGAGCAGCCATCTGTACAGGTCTCGCCAGGCGGACAACAGCATATACTGTCCGAGACAGAGACGCAATCCTGGCCAGTTGGACAGCACAGATCAGCATCCCCTGCTGCACTGCACGAAGAGGTGTCGGCTGGGCACTCAAAATCGCGGGCGAAAATCGATCGTCCGAAGAGCCCGATATATATCCTGGTGTTGTTCGAATGCGCTGCTATTGGTCTCAATCCGAGAGAGGAGGCGTTTGATCGTGCCAACTCGTCACCCGTATCCCAATAATGCAAGAAGAACTTCTCGCCCTCATCGCTGCTCATCTTTCGTACCCCCACTGGTGCCTGCCATTGCAGCTCGTAACTTCGCTTCGCCGGCAATGTTCGCTCTGTTGCGCCGACCTGGGCTGCCAGGATGAGGCCCAGTAATCCCACTGGTAGCGACAGAAGCGCATCCATACTTTTCATGTTGTTCTCGGATCGCAGGCTTCCTGGTGCGCTCCGCAGCTGCGATTGGTGAGTAGACGGATACAAGGTTTCGAAGAGTGCTGATGTGTGAGAGAGTAGGAGAAGGAGAAGTCAGAACTTCACTTAGCCTTGATTGATGCAAATGTGAGGCTGCCAGCCTTTTGTCTGCACAAACCTGCTGGTGGTCAATGGTGTAGCAAAGCTCACGCGAAAGAGGCTGGGCGCGGAGAAAAGAAGGGCCGACATCTTCAAAGTGTGCGACGACATTTCGCCTCTCAACTTCTTCATCACCTTACATCTGCCAAATCTGCAGTCTGCACCGTCTTTGGGTGCGGCTGCGGATCTCATGGCATGGGTATTGGTGATACAATTCGCGCGCTGGAGTGAGCCGCCCGAAGTTGTGGTACTGATGCCGCGCTGCGCTCGGCGCATCACCTTCACCTGCAAGATCTGTCGTGCACACCATGTTATGGTGCGGCTCCAGTCAGTCGCTCAGGATACATTCCAAGTGCTAGAGTGCGTCGCCAGAAGTTGTAATACTGATGGCGCGCCACGGGCGCCTGGAGTGGTGTGGGCATCACATTCTCATCCCGGTGAGGCGGATGCTGGGAGGGTCCCGAAAAGTGCGCAGTCTTAGTATGGGCGTATGTAAAAGGTTTGTGACATGTGGCCACTGACTGGCCATGGTGGGCGAGAGTACCGCCGCCACACACTGACATTGCCCTGATCGCATTGAGCGTCAAGGTCGCCAACGAGTGCCTCGCCTATTAGCGTCACGGTTGTTGTACGATATCTATGAGCGGTGGACTGGCTGGAACGCGACTTGAGTGGGTGAGCGAGGCCGCATCGACAGGAAGCCGCACAGGCACGAAGGCAGTACCGTGGTGTCGCCAGGGCTGGGATGAGGTCAGCGTCCGCGGGATACCTATCGAGGTGAGTAGCGAAAATGAGCGAGAGTTCGAGGAACGAGATGCGAGGGCGCGCACTGACTGACATGCGACACAGAACGTGTGCTCCACCTCCTTCACTTCATCGGCCAAGCCCTTTCACTCCGTGGATCCAACCTTCGCTCGGGGCCAGATGTCGCCGGACAGCATGTATCACATGTATGAGCGCGTTGAGATGATGCTTATGCATTGCGAGTAATGTTTGCGAAGTGTGTTGGTGCTGGAGAGGAATGGAAGGCACGCAGCACGCAGCGGGACTGTCCGATTAAGCGAAAGCTTGCTTTGGACGTCACTCGTTGCTGAAGTGAGCCCAATACCAACATATGTGCAACTACTGACTGCCGGATGGCCTAATAGTAAATCGGGGGTGAGGAATTGAGTCATTGGGATGTATGAAAGGGATTTTGTGAGTTTGGCGCTGAATGAGCGACCTTGGGCGACGCTGAGCGGCGACATCCGCGACCCGCGACATCTATTGCGCACAGCTGGTATCGAGCAGCCTAAGTTGCATCGAGAAGGTATCTGTGTTCGTGTGGAACGGTCTGTGGCAGGTGGTTTGTGCTTGGGAGGGTGGAAAGCCGGAACGTGCTCCTCAACGTCACATCATCAGCGACGACGACGAATCGATGTATTGTAATGCTACAACTTATTGATGGGTGTTCTATACAATTAAAATGGTCTTCTAAATCGTTGTGCAATCGTGCGTTATGCTGCGATCGTTGGTTGAGTCGTGACTTGACTTGGATGCACTCCTCACGAGTCCGACGACCACTCCGATTGCCAAAGGCTTCTGCCAGTAGTTCCAATCGATCAGGTCGATGTGTTCGATGTCGGAGACGAGATCTGAGTAGGTGGTAGGCCAGCAAAAGGTCAAAATGTCGCTGGAGAGTCAATATAGCCCCAACTGCCTACACGGGGATATCTGATCAACCAAGGCGAAAAGGAAGATGCCTGGGAGTGTCCCAGGGTTCTCTGACATGAGAGAAAGACAAAAGAAGTGTCTCGCAAGGAGTTGTTGTTGATCTGGAAGGTTTGTGAGTGGATATCCAAGATATGGTCGGATTGTATGACTTACGAGAGTGGGATTCGAACCCACGCCCTTTCGGACCAGCGCTTAATCAGACCGTGAAGTCCTCCTTAAGCTGGCGCCTTAGACCGCTCGGCCATCTCACCGCTTGCTGTTGATGGTAGCGGAGGTGTGGCAATAGCCTATATTGCGTGGCGCTTGAGCCGGATCACTAGCGCCTTGGCGTTCGTCGTCGATCGAAGAGAGAATTCCGAAGACTCCCGATGACACCTTGTAGCAGCTGCAATTCCAGCGCGGCGTCTCCAGCAACCAAATTGCAACAAAATTGGCCTTAAGGCGGCCACCCCTGCTCGCAACCGACCACGCTGCCAACCACCCCTCGACAACCAACGTTTCGGGTCCCCGTCAGCTGACAGGGCTGGCATTACGCCCCCAGATCCATATCTGGTACACCCCCTCTTCGTTGCATCGTAGAACCATGGCAACTGCTGTTCATCCAACACTCGTTCAATCGATATATGAGCGTCGATGCACCTATGGATGGCGCAGAATGGCCGTCTCAGCCGGTCTCCAAGGCAATGAAACGGCTACTCAGACGTTTCTACACACTCATTGATGCGGCAACAGCTGAGAGCAGCAAGAAGTTGGCCAACGATGTATTCAGCGAACATGGAGAGTTTGTCGTAAACAAGCGTAGGATGCTTGGGAGAGAGCGTACATTACACCTCTTATTGCTTTGAATATCATGCTAACATGCATCAGAGATCATGGACTGGCACAATAAAAGCGGCGGCAACGTTGTCTCACGCCAGCACGATGTACACAAGATCTATGTCTGCAGCGACAGTGGCGACGATATACTCATGATCGGGACCCTTACAATGCGGTCCGAGGAAGGCTTGGTTGGAGAGACTTCGTACACGGCGAGATGTGTTGTTGACGATGCATCATTGCCGAAGCCGAGAGTCGAGCTTTGGCAGTTTTGGCTGGTACGTATCGTCCTACCGTTGACGAATCTGAATCATCTAACAAGTTAGGACCCAACTCCCTTCCTAGACTTAGGCATCATGCGGCCACCGATCAGAAAATTGTCGACCAGTGGTGTGTTGGACACTATCGGCGGGCGATAATTGTTCGGTCATGTAACAAAAGCACAACTTAGCAAGCAGGATATTGTTTAATTTCTGATAGCCGACATCTTCTGATCGAGGATCACCAGCGATATCCGGACTCGTTGACCAAGAACGAAAGTCTGATGGAAGCTGACACAGGAAACAAATCGAGCAATTAGCTAATCGCAGCGAGGGCCACCTTGACTTGACACGAGCAAACTTATTATATTTGAGGACGCTGCTTCGTGACCAGTCGACGACCTATTTCATCGGATTTCCGCAAGTGGCATCTCATGGTCAGCATTGGGTGGCGATTTGTGAGGACATCTGAACTCAAATGCAAACATCAACCTTACAAGACCCACACTCGAACTCACAGCTATATATCTATCACGCCGCCCACATGTCTTCCTCAAGATCATCGACCTAGACATACAAGCTACCTCAAGAGTGTATCGATTCATCACGCACAACTTCGTCTTCACCACTCCACCATCAACAATGGACACCACCAAGCTCCAGCTTGTCACACTACCCCCAGAGCTTCAAATTCTAATCGCCGACAGCCTCCCACTGAAAGACGTTCTCCAACTGCGGCACACATGCAAACAGCTACGCGATATAGTCGACAGCCACGCTGTAGTTCTCGGTCAAAACCTTGTCAAACAGCAGCATCTCCGTCTAGAACGACGAGCTCAGCAACTCGATCTCTCCGGGCTGAGCCTTGTCGAGGCTCTTCTCAAGTATGCGGCTTGGGTCAATTCGATCGAACCCCCTCTCCCGGGTTCAATGGTTACCTTGGCCTTCGCTTCGACTTACCGCAAGGCGAACCCGTCTCTTCGTCTAGCCCACTATGATTTGGCGATGCTAGAGAGTCAATTACATCCTGACGTCCGGAGCATACAGGATCTCGGCCCAGATGAGGTCGATACTGCCATACAGATGCTGAGATTACCAAAGAAAGAGATGCTGGCAGTGTTTGAAGCCGAAAGGATGAAACCGTTCTATAGGTTAGATGTTGTCTTCGGGTCAGAAGACGACTTCTTGTATTACGTGGATGAGGTATGGGGTGAAGAGATCGACGAAGAGCTCGACTGTGATCTGCCGCGACTGAAAGCCCTGAAAGGACTGGAGTACGTCAATCGTCGTGGGTCGGCAATGCACAGGTTGATCGAGGCAATGGACTTTGAGGACAATGCTGGCCAACTTGCCCTCATGCGCGCCAAGCAGCTCGAGTTCATCGATTTAGTGCCGCCGTCGAATGTGTGTGAAGAGTGCTGGGAAAAAAGGGATTTGGGATGTACTCGGTGTGACGAGGATTATCAGTAGACCGCTTCACACAATACCAGAGACCTGTACGCAACGAAAAAAATGGCGCTCTCATCAAGTTTTCCTGTCTCGGTCATATGGTGCCATTTCGTCGTACAGTCTCCCGCTTGGCGGCCTTCTCTTCCGCATCCATCTCGCCGCCGCAGAGATTTCTCACCCCAAGCTGCAGCTACTCCTAGCTGCTCCATTCGAGCATGCCATCGTCCAGAAATCCAGATGACGCCCTGCACGCGTACGTTGGGACGAAGATGAAGATTTTAGCCACAGTCGTCAACAGATGTCACGCGCCCCTCATTCTTTCCTCCAGCAGCTTGCAAGGTAGGTGGTCACCGGTGTAGCTCTCGGTGGTACTCGTTCGTGCATCTTCTACCCGCACTCATTCTCATTGTTCTTGGCCGATCGCATTGATATGAAGGTATAGCAGCGATTATGGCAACCGACAAAGCGAATGGCGACCACATCGAGAACCCAAACCACGAAGCCGCCCTCAGTGGAGCTCTAGCTCTCGCCAATCTCTTCAGCAACTGCGTCGAGGCATTCGGCCTGATACACCCTACACACAAATGGGAGAAGGAAGAGCAGCTGCTGCTGTCGCGACTCGGCATTCAGCAGGCAAGATTGCTGATATGGGGTGATGCTGTGGGTATTACCTCGCCGCCCGCGTCAGTCACGAATCAAGCCATACCGAAGCACCCCAGCGCTGTATACCCGGACTTGAAAGAGCCAACCTTCTTCGGTGCGCGAGATGCACGATTGGATGAGTACGAGACGAGGACGCAGGTCGAGAGCGCGCTCAGTGCTATCGTGGACCGCTCGGCAGGATATAATCGGGAGGAGATGATGGAGAAGTATGGTCTCAAAGTGCCGAAGCGTCTGGCTTCACTGTCGGAAGCGGCGCTGGATGTGTCTAGGCTGGATGCGTTTCGCGAGAAGTATGAGCTGCTGCAGGAAGTAGGCGAGACGTACGCACATCTCAGTGCGAGACGAAGCAATTCGATCACGTCGACGGCTTGGACAATTGCAGACCAGACGCGTTTCTACTACTACCTCAAGCTCACGCAGGAGAAGGTCGACTTTCTCATCGACCTCATGGGTGTTAAGGACAGGGTTGACCGATCCATGCGTATGGACATCAAGGCGCTGGGGTGGCACTTGACGGCGGACAGGCAGCGCATAGCAGCGGACACCTCAAAGCTTAGACTGATGCAGGAGATCTGCAAGGTCGATTATCCGGAGTATGTCGCGGCTACGCAGACAGCACTCGACAACATCAGCCGGGACTCTCGTGAGAATTTTGGTGGAGTGCCAAACCCGTACGCATCCGTACCAAATCCGGGCGAGACGCCCTCGTCACCTAAACCCGTGCGCGCTACCGGCGAGCAGAAGCGACCTGGTGGTCTATTCGGCATGTTCAAGAAGTTTGGCAAATCGCATGATCGTGTACCGAAGGGCCGCACCCAGAGCATCTCGTCCATCGATGAGCCGCCACGATCGCTCTCGGATGCCGGACCTTCGACTTCGATGAACCATGAGCACGATCATGAGGACATGTCGCCACTCGAGCCGATACGGTCGAAGTCAGTTGGTGCCATACTGGATACGCCAGCACTGACGCAGGATGATGAGTTTATTAGAAATAAGCTTCAGCAGATGCGTACGCAGGATACGGTCAAGGAGCCGCTGTCGGCTGCTGATGAGGTTGGTCCGGTGGTCTCGAGGCATGATCAGTATCGTGGGATTGCAAGGGTGGCGACGAAGGACCAGCGGCAGGGGTGGTGAAGTGATGGGTGGGAACACCGTTTGAGTTGGTTTAGTGCTTTGATACCCCCGTTTGCATGATGGCGTACTGATGGCTATGCTCTCCTCGATTAATCTGCTCTAAGCCTTCGTACAGTGGATTGCATTGTTGCTCGCATACTACCTGGCTTCACTAACGTTCCTTCTATCTTCATCAGCAAACGAGTGAAGTGGATTATTTCAGGATTGGTGTGACCTCACTAAGATTTCACCTTCGACACTCCAGAACAAATCTTCACAGCCCCTAGCTCTCTCCTGCATCGACTGGCATCACATCCGCAACGCTTACTGACCGCGAAAGAACTGCAACCACAACAACGCCGCCTTTGATGGCGTCGCAATCGCCTCCATACGAATTTAGAGAATCGCCCAGCAAAGGCATTGGATGTTTTGCGACTGAAGACATCGTGGCCGGTACCATCATCATGCGAGATCGCATGCTCCTGAAGTTGTACAATGCTGAAGATCGTCCACTGAAGGAGGCCGATGTCTTGCGGGCTGTTGATGGCCTCGATGACACCCAGAAGGTTCAATTTGTACAACTACACGAGGGCGCCACTGCGTACAGTAACGACATCATGCGAATCTACATGGCCAACTCATTCCGCAAAGGCGCCATCAACTACCTGTGTCTAACGATGGTATCTCTGAACCACTCGTGTTCACCCAATACCGAGAGGGTCATCGACAAAGATGACAAGAATTTCGAGACCTTGGTGGCCGTGAAGCACATTTCAAAGGGCGACGAAATCTTCACAAGCTACTTCGGCTTCCCGTTCGCCATCACGAAGAAGGCCCGCGTCGATGCGCTGCAAACTGACTATGGATTCATTTGTGACTGCCGGGCCTGCACCCTCACTTCGCCTTTGACCGCCATCAGCGACGCACGCAGGACTCTGATCGACGTA